GCCAATTTCCATAGACAATAAAGTTTTGTTTTTGTTTTCTCCTACTTACCTTTTTATCTCCTATTATATCAACAGAAGGCTTTCCAAACTCTTTCTTAATAACATCACTGAAAACCTATTTCAAACTAGCAGAATTGACTTGTCTTGGCTGATGCCATTTTGGTCTCAGTCCTTCTGCTAGCAGATATAATAATAAATTTATAATTCTTTACCACCACCCCCCCGCAAAAAAAGAATTGACTTGTCTTTATAAGAACACGAGGCCTGGTGCACGAAATCCTTACACAGGTAGGGTCCCTAGGCCTGGCTGGCGATCAGGGCCAATTGAGGCCTCCCTTCCCTGGCTGCCAGCTGCCAGCCAGGGCCTCCCTTCATTCCACACCACCCCATGGTGGTCAGAGCATGTCATAGCAAGTGATAGAACTCCCGGTCTCCCAGTTGAACACCCGCGGGGACACTTTGCATATTAGCCTTTTCTATATATATATATATATATTCACTGCACAATAGTGCAATGGAAATAAGAAGCAAATTGGGGAGAGGGCCAAACATACATACACCTCTATGTTATACACCACACCGAGCTGTCTCAGCATGGCAGCAGGAGTTTAAAAGATCTGTGTTCCAGCTCACTTCACCTACATATAAGTGATATAATGGTAGGTATATACTGTATTTAAGTGTCTTCACAGTATAGTAAGAAGAATACTTAACTCACAGGATTTTTCGAAGGACTAATCAGATCCATGAGTAAATACTAAATATTAGCTATGATTGAATATTCATAATTATACAAGTATTTTCAAATGGGCCTTTCAACAAACTTATACAAATTTACATCACAAGTATGGATAAGCCCATTTCCCAACTTCTGCACAAACACTGACATGACAGGTCCAATATCAGGTCTTAATTTTCATGATGAATCATGACATTATTTCATGTTTATTGACTATATATATGTTGTCTATGTCATTTGCCTATTCTATAAGGCTGTTCTCTTCTTACATTTTAAGATTCATTACACATAAGAAATATAATTTGTCATTTGTTAAAATACTTTTTCTAGTTTTCTACTTGTCTCTAACTTTGCTTATGGTGTTTCAGGTATACAGAAGCTTAAAATATTCAAGTCATCAAATGAAATCCTTTTTCTTTTGAAATAAAAGGATTTTCTAGTATGTTCATCAAATGCTAAATGATTTGGGCTTTTTAAAATGTATTTAATCAATCTAATATTAATTTTGTACAATAAGATGTCCCTTTTATTTTCAAATTTTGGCCATTATTCTTCATTACCATTTATCAATCTGTCTCTCACCAATATAAAACTCTTTTTTATATACTACATTATATAATTTTTATCATTGTAGAATTTCTATTCTACTGGCTTTTCTGTTTTTCTCAATATAACTGTTTTAATTTTGTCACTTTATTGTGGTAGGCAGAATTCTAAGATTGCCCCCAAGATTCCCAGTTTCTTTTATACACATACCTACTCACAGTAATTCAATTAAACACTACTCTAGGTACTGCTTTGAAAAGATTTTCAGATGTAATTAAAGTTACAAATCAGTTAACCTTAAGCTATGGAGATTATTCAGCTGGGCCTGACTTAATCACATGAGCTCTAAAGGCAGCAAGCTTTTTTCTGGCTGGCCACAGAGGAGGAAGCTAGAGAAATGTTAGTGTGGAAGAAAGCAAATGTCCATCTTATTAACTGCCCCTTGGGGCCACATGTCAAGGAAAAGCAGGTGGCCCCTAGGAGCTGAAAGTGGTCCCAGCTCTCTGCTAGAGGAACAACAGGGACCTCAATCCTACAGGAAATGAATTCTGCCAACACAGGAAATGAATTCTGCCAACACCCAATGAGCTTGAAAGAGATCCCTGAACCCAGATGAGAGCTCAGCCTGGATGACATCTTTTTTATTTTATTTATGTAAGTATAGTTGTTATACAATATTATCCTATATAATAAAAGCCTAATATGCTAAGTGTCCGGTCGACCCATTGGCCGTTCAACCAATCAAAGCGTAATATGCTAATGATATGCTAAGGCCACTCAACCGCTCGCTATGACATGCACTGACCACTAAATTTGTGGTCATTTGTCACACAGTAATTTTAAAAACTCATATATTTGTAATACACTTTCATAATCAACTCATCATACTTCTGGAAGCACTTCAGATTTCTGCAAAATTCAAAAAAAGAAAATCCTGTTGACCTTTTATGGTGCCCTTATTTTAAATTTATGGACTACTTTGGAGACAGGTCTGAATAGCCTAGGGGCTCATTGTCTCCCTTCTTTGGTAGCTTATCAAAGAGCAGGCTCAGTGGATCTGTGCTGGCTCAATGGAAAGAGCAGGTATCAGCCACTGAGCTTCAGTGGACTCTGCCTTTCAAACAAGATCACTTTCTCAACCCTGAAACTTATCCTGTTACAAAAGTGGCCTCCCAGAGCACACTGCTCATTGAGATAAGTAGGCTCTCCTATCTACCAGCCTATACATTTCTCAGTAAAACCTATGTCATATATGAGAGTGAGGCAATTTGTGTCAGTGACCTCTTGATTCAACCTAAATCCTCCTCACACGTTGTTCCTGCAACTCCAAACTGTTCCTGGTTCTCACACCCCATCACTCTCCTTCATACATCTGGGGCCCCTTGACATAAGTCTTCTAATCAAAGATCATGCTTGTGTTGCTATTTAAAGTTATTTATGTTTCTTAGTAATGCTGTAGAGTTCTTTTTAAAATAGGTTATTACTTGCTTTTGGACTACTTCTAAGAACTATAGCTCTCAAAGCTATTATAATGACTTTTTTCCATTTATAACTAATCTATGATGGTTTAGAGAGAAACTTTCAGATCTATATCTCTTTCTTTTGATTTTTAACTGGACACAGTTCCAGTGTTTACTGGTGATTAAGTTGATGAAAGAATAAAGTAGTTGTGTTCTTAAATGGGACCATTTACCCAGGAAAGTCCTCAGATCCTGAAAGAATGGATCTATAATGATGTCGTTCAGACCACAGGTATGTGACTGAGACCTTTAATGCCTCCTTCTAACACGTGCGTGCATGCTGTTGAAGTAGTAGATAGCAAAAAGGGAACAGTTTTCCTGATCTCATAACTTCTGAGGGTCAGGTCACTTCATTTTGGGGAGTGTGAAGCTCGGGATTATTACCCAAGGTATATCTTCTCCTTTGCAATGGGATTGGGGGCCTCTTAATACTTTTACAGCTTCTCACAAGGCATCCTAGATATTATCGTCCCTTCGCCATTCAAAATCATATATATCTTCCCACTCTCAAGCCTAAAGAAAGTAACATTTCTTGCTGCTCTCTGGATCTGTCTTTTCCTTATTACCCCAGCATTTATTCCCATCATGCTTTTGCCTTCAACATTTCCATGATCGCCAAAGTCTTCATGCTGGGATTAAAAATATGAAGCCCCTGTACTTTGCAGTGCAATAAAGGAGATTGCCCCTGTGCAAGCTCAGCAAGAATTTCAAGGTCCAGATCCACACATTAGATGTGGCTTACTAAGTAGCAACATGACGTCCTTAATTCGTAGACAGAGTTTCCTAGTGTTCGAATCACCGTAGGTATAAAAGGCAGTGCACCCACAGTTCGACACTTCTCCAACCTGCACCTCAGCTGTGCCTCCAGGGCACAGGAGGCCACGTTCATGCGCCTGCAACCTTATCTCATGTAAATGCTGTTACATGATTTATTCACTGCTTGGAGAGTAGATCAAAGTGAAAGCAGTTTTGAATGGCGACCACGTCATTTTGCCCATCCCTAAACTCAGATCAGATCCTACGTTCTGAGCTAGGTCAGCTCTATTCTGGGCTCAGATCTCACCCTGATATCTATATCCTCATATGTATTTTTAAGTCAGTCCTCTTCCCACCTCATTTTTAAGCCACTTCTTCCCTCCTTTGTACATGATATAATCCTAACTCTGGACAAAGTACTTTACTAATTCTTGTTTCCCTCAACTTTTTTATCAATAACTGTCACTTGGCACAGCATGTTTCCACCTGTAGAGACCACTAACTCATCACTTTTTTCCATTGTCCTTCACTTAAAGTTCATACCATTTCTATTGGCTTAAAAAGAGAAAGATGTAAATGTGTTTAGAATGCAACTGATCAGGATATACATAATAAATTTATTACAAATAAAAATAAAATTATTAATCACAATAAAATGGGAAAACAAGAAGGACTTTATTTTTACAGCAAATTCTTATTACCTATAAAATGTTGTGGAATCACCTAGATATAGTAAGTTTTTTTTAACCATGTGAAGTTTATATATTAATCAGCACAAAGTTTTTTCTTAGAATTGTCTTCAATAGAAATTATCTGTAGATTACATAGGTACCATTTAGAATAAATATAGAAATAAGTATAATGTTCTCTTCAATTTTTCTAACAAACTATGATGATTTAATGCTTTTTAAAAATGGGGGAGCACCCCTATGTTCATAACAGCACAATTTACAATAGATAAGACTTGGAAACAGCCTAAGTGCCCATCAGCAGATGAGTGGATAAAAAAACTGTGGTACATTTACACTATGGAATACTACATGGCAATACAAAAGGAAGAACTCTTACCATTTGCAATAGCATGGGTGGACCTGGAGGGTATTATGCTGAGCAAAATAAGCCAGTCAGAGAAAGATAAATATCACATGATCTCACTCATATATGGAATTTAATGAACCAAATAAACTGATGATCAAAAAAACTCCCAGAGAGATAGAAGCATGAACAGACTGTTGAACCTCAGAGGGAAGGCAGGGGAGGGGGGATGGGAAGAGATCAACCAATGAACTAGTATGTATATATGCACAATGCATGGACAGACAATCGGGTGGCGAGGCCCTGGGGGGCAGTGTAGGAGGCAGGCTGGAAGAGATTAATGGGCGATAAAGGAGGACCTATGTAATTTTCAACAATAAAGATTTTTAAAAAGGGAGGAGGGGATCCTTTAAAAGGACAACAGATTCCAGAAGACATCATAATTTACTTAAAACAAATTTTATTATTTATTATTAATATAGTTAGTAATGAAAAGCATACATAGAGCCATGCTTTCTTTCATTAAAACTCTACAAAATTAAAATTTTCTAATAACACTCTCAACCCCTAGATGTCATCTATAGTTAAATGTTGGCTAAAATGTTTGAAACAGTAAAAATAGAAACTATGTAAAATCTTTGATATTTTATTAAAAAAAATAATTATGGAACAAGATTTACAATTTAAAATGAAATTACTTAAAATATGGATTGTAAGTTCTTCTGATTTTCATTGAAACAGATTTAATCTTGACAGGTGAGTTGTTTTTGGTCCATGTGCCCCATTGAATTCCAGTCGCAAGCAATTTTCCAGGGAAGCGATGAATGCCATTCAGATTTGCTAGTCCACATTGGTTGAACCACCAGCCAGTGTTGTTATTGAGGTGACTGCAGCTCTTCACAGACTGACCAACAACCAGGCATGCGGGATGACATCCATCATTATCAACATCTGCTGTGCTGAAAGGCATTGCATTTTGATTATCTTCTTTCCTGAAGCCCCGGAAAGCATCACCTGGGTAAAATAGATTTTGTAAATGACTAAATTTAAAGGCACTTTTTGTAATTTTTAATTGACCTTTACCAGCCTATTATGCAAAAGCATTGCATCTAGAAATGAGACTTAAATTATTTTCTACAAGATGTCATATTACAAACTCTCCTCCAGATTGCAATATGGCAAAACCTGATAATAAATTCCTTAGCGTTATAGGGATCTTTAAGTGGACATTTGATATAACATTATAATTTTTAAAAAATCACAATTCAAAAATGGAAGTTTGGCTGTGTAGATTTATTCAGCTAATTTAGGCCAAAGATGATGGTGTATAGACCTGTCATTCTTCAGGGAAGAGTAATGTGATCATTGTTAATTTAGAAAAAGAAAATAATTTACATATAAGAGGTTTTCATAACACTACTATTTTACATGTTAGAGAGGTATGAATGAATGTGAAACTTCTGCATTTAAAAAACTTAGATTTGTTACTGCAAAAGTTGTTTGGTTTTATTTATAGGCTACCAAGTTTATATAAAACTAGAGGCCCGGTGCACGAAATTCTGCACTTGCAAGTGTCCCCCACCCCAACCTATGCCCTCTCACAATCCGGGACCCCTCAGGGGATGTC